CTTGTGGGCCTAGACGACTAGTGTGGCCGTTGAGGCACGCGCTACGTAGTGTTCGGCCCTACCTCGCATCTCTGTATGCGTTTGCGCTCTGTGATATCGTGCCCGTCGTTCGTGAGTGTCCAGTCTGTTTCCTTGTTCATTGTCGATAGTGGGTGTTACTATCATTGTACTGTGTTGTATTCCACCGACTCCACATCGGGCACATTGTGTCTCACGTTGTTCTGTCATTGTGTATTATCCTTGTGTGTCATCGTGTGTTACCTTGTTGTGTGTTACATTGTGAGTGACCGGGAACAACACAACAAATTGGTGTAGGGTATTCCACGCAACCCACGATGTCCATTTCCGCGGAATAACTGAAGTTGATCCTGCAGCAGCAGCAGTCCCAGTTCCAAGCTGTGCTAAGGTCACTCAATCTTCAGTCACCGAAAGCTTCCGGTTCCAGACAGGCCGCGCCAACAGAGGTGATCGCGGCGAGTTTATCTACGATCAAGACTCCAGCATCCCATTCGACTCGTGATTCGCCCGATGGGAAGACATCTTCCGAGTTGAATTCGCCAATGAAGATGCTCATTGGAAAGTTCGATTGCTCGTCCGCAAATTGGGTGCCAAAGCACACGTGCGTTACAAGAACACTATCCTAACCAAGCGTCCAAGAGACTTCACGTTTGATAAAACGGTCAAAGAACTGTCAGATACGTTCGGCTAAAAGGTGCTTCTCTTCAATATCCGGTATCAATGCCTGAAGCTGGTCAAAAATGCCAGCAATTCCAGTCAATCGGGATTGTCAGAGGTTCAAGTTGCGCTCAATGACAGAAGACCAATGCAAATGTCTGATGTTTGTGTGTGGGCTTCAGTCACACAGAGACGCTGAAATCAGAACCCACCTTCTGAAAACAACTGAACAGAATTCAAACGCCCACCTGCAAACCTTGACCACCGAGTGCCAGAGAATCTTGAACCTCAAGCATGACTGCCTTTGTCCAATATTCTGAGGGCCCTACCAGAAATGTGAACACAGTACCCTTCAGCAAGTCCCCAGATCCACCGCACGACAACAAAGCGGCCTGAAACCGGTTTTCGGATTTATTTCACTTATTTTCAAAATTCATTTATTAAGTGTTAAGGGGACTGTGCTGTAATCAGTTTTGTTCTATCAACTACTAAGAAACAAACAAACAAACCGAGTATCTTCCTGCGTCGGTTTTGGTTGTTGTCTTTTCACTGCAAATTTGGATGAACAATAGGATAAAGATAGCAAGGCTTAAAGTAGATTTGAAGAGTAAATGGAGAATTTCAGTGGACTAAGGTTGCAAGGAAATGGAGGTGCATAAACGCCGTTGTTTACAACTTTCAACCATATCGCCCGGTGCCACTAACAATCGGTTGCGATCATCCCGAAATGCCAAACCGGAGAGCCAAACACAATCTGTGACCGAATCTCCTGGTCAGGGTTTTCATAATCTCGTTCCGAGTATTAACTTGACCACCCTTAGCTTTTTCCAACCACGACCTGCCTCGGCAAACATTGCGCGCTCTGACAACCTATTTGGTGACATGCGTGACACATGACCCAACCGAAGTAATCTATGGAGATCGATCATTTGATCCAGTGGGCAACCGCGGTTACTTGAAAAACCCTTCACCTATCCTCAGCATTGTTTGTCCGGTTGCCCCACTAGATTCATGCAATGCTGCGTAGACAGCGGTGTTCGAACACCGACAGTCTATCTGAATCCTGTTTTCCTAATGGCCAAGTTTCTGCGCCGTACAGCAGAACTGGCCCAACGGCCGCAGTATACAACACACCCTTATGTTTTAGCGTTAATCACAATCTCCTTTACCATGTTTTCCTAATTCTTGTGTTATAGCTGTCAATCGCGATTTCACCCCCAAATAACACGGTGTAAAATTCTCATAAAAGCTCAAATATAATGCATACATAACAAGCTGAGTAATGTGACATAGAGAAGACGCTACTTATTCGACTTTTAAATTTCTGTTCCCTCAGTTCACAGTCTTTCACTGAATCGTGACTAGTTCATACGGAAATTAAACAAATTCTGCATGCTCGGAAAATGATAATGTTCTGGGTGAAAACTTCCGATCCTGGTGGAATCTCCAAGGGCTAACTGACTTTCAGTAAATGAAGTGATTCCTAGCTTTTCAGTTCAGGCTTCGTTTGCTATATACACGACGAATTCAACTTGGAAAATGAAGTAATTTCGATGCGCTGCGTTCTGGGAACTACACACAAATATGTGACGGTTAAATTCGTGAATCCATCGATGAATCTTACACCATAGTGTGTTGAACAGCAGACGGGGTAAACCACATAGTTTCGAGGACCTGTTGTTTCTTTATGGAATCCGGGCGTTCGGAGTGGCGAACCATATAAGACCCTGTTATATTTGAATTCGTATTGAACCGGAAGACAACAAAGCTGCCTGCCACCATCGTGCATCTGTTTTCGGGGGTTACCTCTCTTACTGCTAAAATTTTAATATTAGGTGTTAAGTGGACTATGCTGCAATCAGTATTGTACCATGAACTTCTAAAATGCAAACATTTGTATAGAAAATTAGAAATTTCTGAAACGTCTCAAATTTTCAGTTGCCAAAAGGGTGGATTGTTTTAGAAAATTAGGTGATGAGAATAAAAAAACATTTGATGTTAAAGTTCCCCTGTAGAGAATAACAATATAACCACATTTTATCTGAGAATAATCTGCGTAGAGGATAAGACCAGATAATGCATAAACAGATTCCAGCATTACGTCTGTGTTTCACAAAACCATCAACTAATATGGGAAATTAGCATTGTTAGCGGTATGAACGCTCCACGAGGAACAGATGAGCTATTCGACGAATATGTTTGACAATTACTTCCAACTACTTATAAGTCCATGCGTCAGTTCGAATCCCACCGAGGCTACTGAACTTTTCACAATCGACATACATACTTATAAGTAGGCAAAAATGTTCATAAGTGAAAAACGGTTGTGAATTGTTAATGTGTTCTGTGTACCCCACTATCTCCCTCTCAACTGTCGCCAGTAAGAATCAAGCAATCAACGATCTACACTCGACTTAGGCTTTTACTCTGGTCTTCGTAATAATACAACTCGAATTTGTTTTGCAATGATGCTTTTAACACTGATCAAAACTTCTATTCACCGTCGGTGAAGAACCACTGTCTCCCATGCCAAATCTAATTGTATCAGCTCAAGTATGTATGCTCAGCCATCAAAATAAGCAGGACGGAGAGACAACTGCGTGACCGAGTAACCGAGCCCATCCCGGTCTGGGTTCAGAAAACAATGAGTGAGAACGTGGGAAGTACGAGATCACCAATAACCCGTAGGCAACTCAGTTCATCGATTCCACAACACGTGGTCGAAACGAAACATTGTGTCATGCTGCGTGACGCGTTCAGAATCCTCTATAACACAGACAACACCAAGGTTCTGAAATACACCGAGGCACTAGCCATTCAAAATTAACATCCTAAACTGCGTAAACAGAGTGAATGGCTTATCGCTCTGGCGCTGACTTGGTAACAAATGTGTTTGGTGAATAATTTTGACCGCAATCTTTCTCTGCCCATTGTTCTGTTATTTACTGACCATAAATTAATGATCACATGGATTGCAGTACGCACGCCTGAAGATGCAGTAAAATGGTGCATGACACATTGTGCAAGCCTGTTTTGGCGTCTTTATTCAAATTCGCTACGAGGAAACNCCTCCGCAAACACACCCCAATGCACCTGTTCCTACAACCTCGGTGTATTTTACACCTTTGTGCGATTGGCAGAATGAATCCTATGGTATTGATGACCCATTTTAATTATGACCTTCAGTATAATCTCGGTGACTAACTATGTAATGCTCTATTAGGGTAGGCATGAGCGGAGCGGGATCAAAGCTAGCCGCACAAGCCGGATCCAACAGTTGAACGCAATATGCGCCATTATCGAATCAGACCTGACCACAGTACCAAATAAACTGGGGTTACGTTGAAGGTCACTTGTGCATCAACCAGATCTTTCCTTACGTAACTCTTCACATCTTTCACAAACCACACCCTCGATATAAATAAACAATTACATCTGTTGTGGGTTGGAACTTGGTAAACTCTATTTAGAGAATCAACCTTGGAATAGCCCATTCGATTGTTCAGAGGCACCACGCACTCTTGATGGTTCTCGGTGTGGGTTTGGTTGATTTTCACAAACATTTCCATCGCATTTAAATGCATACAAACAGTGGGGAATTAACGATCTCCCAAGGAGTGAAACCCACACCGAGAACCATCAAGAGTGCCTGGTGCCTCTGAACAATCGAATGGGCTAATCCAAGCTTGATTCTCTAAAATGATTGAGCCATTAGCACAAGGTGATAACCGTCGGCCGTGTAGCTCAGGGATAAGCGTTTGAAGTCCCGACCCGACTGATCACGGTTCGAGTCCTGACAGGGACACAAAAAGTACGCACTGATGACGAGTCCCAAACAGGACGAAACAACTGTCCAGTGCTCTTTGTTGGTTATCACAAACATTTCCATTGCATTTAAATTGGTAAACTCTAGTTAGCTTTGCTTGATCGGGTTTAGGATATGGTCACAGGTTTCATCAAAGAACCAACCGCAACTTGCAGTCAGTAGCTCAATGTTAGAGAGAATCCATTACTAATTTACTTATTAGTAAATTCTTTCACATTGCCATCCACCTCCCCATAGGTCCCCTAAACAAGGGACTATCCACCTGCACAAAACGGCTATCCCCAGGTGCCATACTTCCAGAGTTAAGCAACGCCGTGGAATATTTTCATTCGTTTTTCTCCTTTGGTTACCTATGAACGCAGAATCAAAAGTCCGGTTCTAGTCTAACTTGTTCACAGTCACAGTCTATTCTCGACCTACGTAGAACATTCATACAACTACAGTATTATAATGCGCAATAAAACTTAAAAGTTTCATCAATCATATTAGTAGTAAAAACTTACGGATCTTGGGTGAACAAATAGGGCAAATGATGCCTGAGCAGGATCACCGGTCCACCGGTGAGCATGGCGATGAATGCTGTCGAAAGCGTAAACGAGTGGAAATATTCCATAACAAATTATGGTACAGAAACATGTTTGTCATGTGAAATTTGATCAGGTAAGTCGAATTCTATGTTACCGTAACAAAACCACATGGAACAAAATTTCAAAAAACCAGAATGAAATCATACTGTTTCTTCCCAAATTATTTTTGTCCACAAGAGAATGGAGAAACAAGAGCACATCTAACGAAGTGGTTTCACAATTCGCAGCTCAGCTGTGTACCCTAGTGCACCCTATTGCATAAGACGAAGACCAGGATATCTGTATCGGGAAATAACTGGACTCAGTGTCTGTCACACGTTGTTAAAACGACATAGCACCCACCCATCACATGCCGATAGATGAATGCAAGCAAACAGATCTATCAAGATTGGGTTCTTCTCGGGGGTTTTCGGCGTAACAATAGAAGATGCATCAGTTAACAAGAGAAGATCTGTGGATCAGTCGTGGAACATTCAGTCTCTAAGACCTAATTTTTGGATTCAGGCTTCACCAGATTCTCGGGGCGACCAGCATAAAAAAGCACATACAAAAGCTTTAGAACATGAAAGGTACAACCAGTAACAGTTTCTGGAGTGAAATTCTTTGAGTACCATGAAATGCTCAAACAAACACGCAGCTTCCACACCCGGTTCTTTATCAGGTTGTAGGACTATAAATTCAAATTTCAAAGTATTTTCATTAAATGCATCAACGATAAACCTCGTAAACGAGAGAACGAGCTTCGAGACAGAAGAAATGATTCGCTTTTTTACTTTTTGTGTGACAGTCATCACCCCGAAATTTAGGGGTTGAATAGTTTTGCTCAAATTTGAGTCAGTATCGCACAAATTTTAATTTTCTGGTACTCTGAGGGATTGGGATGACTGTTTTCTCCTCTCCATCTGTATTCCAGCTAAACGGTTTCCATAGTGATCATATCTGCTCAATCGACTAGGCGACACGATGAGCATTAGAATGGAGACGCTAAGTGAATGGTAATTATCGACTACAATCAACTTACGAATTAGTCCCAAAGCTGTCCTATAGGCAAATCGACCACCTATGGGATCAAACGCACCCAATCTTTGACCGACTCGAACATTGACCGCTGTAAAAATACCTAATGGTACCTAAAATAGAAACGATAATACGGCATGGGGTTACAAACACGGGTATTGAAAATATGATACATATACAAACATATATGTAAACAACTCATATCCGCCCGACCGCATATCACAAAATGCTACCTATCCCAACCCGTTTGCCCTCAAATTCGCTAAACTGATTTATCCCAGAAAATGTATTCTTGAGAACATTTAATTACTTTTGAATCTACTCGAAAAAGCGCCGCCCCCCCCCTCCTCCTCCTCTGGAATCTGGGCACTTAATTTCAATGAATCAGTCATACCTCAGATGTTCAGTTATACAGTGGTGTGCAATATGGACGTCGCATTCTCTAGGTGAAAGTCGATCACCAACGTCAAGCGTCGTGGTCGAGTTTATGGATCGACTATTTGTTCAAGCAGAAGAGCGACACGCAGTTCAGATTTCCGAAATCTTGTGTATAGTCCGGAGTGGATGTCTTCGGTTGTGATCGGTCATCCTCCCTTTAGCCCTTGTGAAATGCTCATATACAACCAGGAGTTTCAAATGACCTTTACTGAAGAAGCTTAAGTCACTGTCTATGCGTGGCAAGGGTTTACCACCACCAAATGGAGAGGACAAAAAGCTAACATCCGGGGCTATAACCGAGTTAGTAACCTACCAGTAGCTCATCTAAGGAAGTTGACTAAAAATCCTGATTCCAAACCAATCCAGACAAGACTTGTGAATCTCAAGCACACCATCCAGGTTGTGACAGTGGTCACCGGCTCGATCGAGCTTCGAGGTGTATTGGACAGAGCAAAGCAAAATCTGGAGCTGCACAAAAGCAGCAATTAGTGCTCGTGTCCCAACTGGCCCAAATTGAGAGCATTCATTTCGCCGCATTTAATACGCGACCAAGCTGAACATTACTGCTCTGGGACTGGAACTGATTGATGTGAGAAACAAGACCTATCAGATCCCAGTGAGCGAGAATTGGCAGAAACAATGCATAGAGAGGCGCATGCACAATTGGAAAACAAATCATCCCCCTATATGTGTGTACATGTCTTCCCGGAGCACATGCTCATCCCCCTGCATGAATAAGTTTGCATGAGAGTGAAACCTCCGTTTACGATTCACCACCTCGGCATCAATTCGTACGGGCCTTCGCCTATCCCGTCCCTGCTTAAAACAGTGCGGTTGGGATCCGATTCCTTTTCAGGTTTCCTAACGAATTTTGGAATAGGTCCCGTGGCTGGCCACTCTTAATGATGCATGTTTGAGCGCGTTTAAGAAACAGAGAGCGTGAGTTTGATCAACGCATAGGGAGAATACACACAGGGCGGGAAGGGGTGAGTCGGATTGAAGGTGAAATCAGTGAGGTTAAATGCAGCGCATTTGTGTGTGTATACCCGAACTCACCATGTAAATTATTGATTGTATTTGAAACGCAATAGCGTGTGCTCCCAGAGTGACCTCGCCCATAGATCCTGCGACAGATAAATACAAACAGAATGAACAGCAAAGTTATCATCTGTTTTGGTTAATGGTGTTATGCGTCTGATATTCATGATTGATTTTATTCATTTAACTTGAATGACAGGGTACCAGTTGATTAAAGGGCTGGAGTACAAAATGAACTGCAACTTAATCAAATCGACTTTAGTGCAGATAGACGTGAGATAATAGTTAGCTATTTGTGATTCGTTTGATCAAATTAGTAAACAGGTTCAGAGATAAACATGATCCTGGTGAAAGATTAGATTAGCGGAGGATTTAACGCGTTTATATAGGGGATTTCGTTGTGTACAGGACACGTAAAGCACGAACTGCAAGCCTGGAAGCACTGGATAGCTGTATCCACGTAGTTGGGTTTCATCAGCAGTGTGCATCAATCGACTCAACTGTGAATCAAATCCGGGACCTCACATGTAGAACACGAGCACACTAACCACTTGACCACCGGGCAGCCCGTTTTTTTTTTCATTTTGCCTATAAACGATATAGCACTACCCATCTTTGCGAGCTTAATGCAGACATCACACGTTGTGCATCTCAATATCAGCCTTCCGTATTTAGACTCCGTTACATGAAATGATGAAATCCACTACGCGAGAGATGCTTTTTGAGACGGAATATAAATGTGTATTTCTTTAGTGAACGTTCTGGTGGAATGAAGAGCAGACGGGGCAAAACTCATAATCATGAGTACGTAGAAAGCACACATGGAAACCGGTAGGGGCGAACGAAATGAAGCTCCATTTGGTTGACCCGAATGAAAATTGGGTGGCGGTGGCGGAATATCAAACCTCAGGACACAAGGCACGTCGCTCGCAGCTTAAAATAATTGGTAACCACCTTTTCTAACAGCATCCAATCAAGAAACGTTCAAGTGATGCATTCTGTTGCATCATCAACGTGATTACTAATAGCATCGATTGACTCAACTAAAATAAAACTAGTCGATTAAACTGGAATAGTCTTTTAGAAGTTTCACTCGTTAGCACAAGCTTAGATCTCACCTAGTTAGTCTGCCAATTTCCGGGTCGATCGATATAGGATGAAAAACAGATTCGCAGTTGTTTGTATGTAAAGTTATTGATAATCTCAACTGGGACACGGCCACTACCCATGTACGTGAATAAACGACCTTTTGTCCAATATTTATGTTCATTTATGGGATCGATGTAGCTACTGTCTTTCACCGTCTGAGAGGAGAGAAACTTATCGATAATCTGAGCTTCTATGCCAAAAATGGGGAGAAGGATCATCAGTCAGAAACGATTTGGTAGGACAGTAATAGAACAACCAAAAAATCACTTCTCCACCTCTCTATCCTGTTTAATCTGAAGATCGTGCCAGGCGGACAGACCATATTTCGCATGGATCATTGACTGAAATCTGTGATCAGTGCGGAATGCGGATGAGATGAAACCAACATCCTATTGCACATTACTCACCTGCAACGAACGTCAGCGCTTCGAAACACCATTCTTCCAGGGCAACCATGAATACACCGGGAATACCCATGCGGAAGATTATGCCCCAATTTTTCAATGCAGCACTGAAGTTGATTTCTGAATAGAATAGGAAAATTATGAGCTAAATTATGAACGATCAGATACTCGAACTTATTAACTACTGAGTTGCAGTCGGTAGAGAGAAAACACCACATTTTGGCGATCGATTAGTCCACTGTGAAGCATACTTAAACTATGAAATATTGCATTACAAGTCTTACATACCAAAACTTTAAGTGTGTTCATGTGGAAAGCTGATGTTGTCTCAAGCTAAAAATGGATGACTTGTTGAATTGCTGAAATTTCGAAATACAGCTTGTGTTTATCGATTTCCGGGAAGTATTACTAACTTGCATTTGCGTACGCTTACAGTCGGAACGCTGTCACGGAGCACATTATTAGGTATAGTATGAAGTAGAAGATGCCGGGTCAGGGGCCGAGACAAACAATTGAAAATGCAATCCAGAAATTGCATCCGACTAAAGGTATTGTAACAACCATCAGCTTTTAAGGATGGAGATTCAATCTTGGTTTCGAAGTTAACAAAACTCCTGGGCTCACGTAGGAAAGAGAGCAGGTTTCATCTAAATGCTGTGAATCAGTGATCACACTGATTTACAAGAAAGGTGACAGGTCCTCGCGTGAAAACCACGAAGGAGTTAGTTTGACCAACATTGCCTCTAAACTTCTCGCCAGCATCACACTCCGTTGATTGTTCGCCGCTCGTGAATTGTGCACAAGTGAGAACCAGGCTGGTTTTAGACCTGGTCATGGTTGTATCGACCACATCATCACTCTTATTCAAACCCTAGAACAGAGACAGTCCTTTCGTAGACTCACTATTTCCATCTTCCTCGATCTGAAAACGGCTTTCTACTCAGTCGACCGCTCGAAACTCTGGCGCTGCCTTTCCCTGAAGTGTGCCCGATAAGTTTATCTCAATATTACAATCGCTCTATACTAACAGCAATGCTGTGGTTAGACGTAGAGTTTTGAGTAGTCGCGGTCGTCCACTGAAGCAGATAGTCGATGTCCATAGATTACGCTGCTTGGGGTCTGCATTACGCATACCACCGGATAGATTGAAACGGTGAACGATGTTTACCGAGGCAGGTAGCGGTTGGAAAGAGATCAAGGGTAGTCAAACTAAGACTTGGCATGAGGGTATGAAAACCCTAACCAGGAGACCAGGTTATATAGGTCCCGTTAGGCTCCCTGGCTGGGAACCCCGAGATCATGGTCACCGATGGGTAGAGACATTGAGAGATATGGCTGGGTGTCGCAAACAGTGGCGTTCTTGCATCTACATATTATTCTTGTAACTTCATTGTATGTAAATGCACGATCTTCCGCTTGAGTCTGCTCTCAACATTCTAATCATCATTCTGCTGTTTTATCGAAATGAGCAACCAAAACCGGCGCCCGAAAGTGCATGGTGATTAATGATTGTAAGAGCAGAACAGATCAGCTGTAACAACCTATTTGAGAGTGTATACAAAAAGTGATCGTGTCAAGCTATTTATGTTTCGGCTCTTCAAAATTCCAATAAGAATGCGAAATGATTCAAACATCCACTGAAAGGAATGGGGTGGAACCGAGCGCTTATTCTCCCTCCAATCCAAGCCAAGATGTCACTCCCCACTGCTTCATGCGGAAAATCTGGTGTGTTTATTCGTTGGGATTACTCATCATTCAGACTTCGTTATCACGTATAATTCCCAGTTCATTCAGTTATTCCTATACTCAAGAAGAACTAAACTTGAGTCTCACTCTCTTTAGAGCTTCTCACTGGAGCATCGTATTCCTTTTTGGGATGGATAACTGGATCTGCCAGGGAGACCTGATTGGTTTAGAGTCCTCGATTATAGATCTCAAGTTGTTTACTGCGTCGGCTGTTGGTTCAAAGGAGGACTCGCTACTTCGGAAATAGACGGCTGAAAACCTTGAATGGGTAATAATGTTCGGTCCTGGTGTGAGCTGCATGACACAGTGCTAACCCACAACTCCCATGCGAGGGTTCTGGAGTTTGAACCCCGAACCGGATATGCCCAGATAGCGGGAACGAAACTTAGGTTGAATGCTTCTTGAATGTACGGGGGACTGGATGAAATAAGAGTTGGGTGTGAAGAGCAAATCTGGATGATGTTCAGCCTAAATCCAAAAATCATATTCCCATCACTAATCACAAGTAGTTTGGAGTCAAAATTCAAAATAGCCCATTTTTATTTATGCTTCAAAAAAACTATGCAACGGATAATGCAAAAGGGTGCAGGATGCGCACGAATACCGTTACGCCTGACGGAAATAAAATAATCACAATCTGTGACGAACTACCAACTTTTTCGTAAGTTAGTTTTCAATTGAGATGCGTCAAAAGCAGGTAAATTTTATGCGCACTGTGTCCGTCCACTATTCACAGTCTGCTCCAAATTTGTTCAAAAAAATACCCTATTCTCTAGCAATTTCACAACTCGTTTCCGTCCAGTTTCTGATCTACTCATTCATAGCTGTGTACTTATGTCGCCAAATAGTCCCATAATCAATA